ACTCTGCCTGTCAAAATAAATAAATAAATAAATAAATGGTGGCATACAACACCAAAAATAATTTGAGGAGGTCGAGTATCAACAGCTTCCCTCCCTAGGTTTCTTCACTATTTGCCATATCATTTTATTCGCCAGGTATTCAGACAATGCTTTTTTCTCTATTAAAAATAATATTCTAGAATCGAAACCGACAGGCATTTATGGAAAGACTCCAATGTGCAAAATAGGGTTTCAGATTATTTGGGGATACAGAGAAATACAAAGTAAGTTCTGGCATCAAAAATTTCGTCTATCAGAAGAGATAAACGCATATATAAGTCAATATAATGAAAGGCAAAATGAGATAAATTCTGTTAAAGAAGTTGAACAAAATATATTGGAAACACAAAAGAATTGTGGAAATATGGAATTTAGGGTTGCAAGGCCTTTAAAAGGCATTTAGTCTCATTCTCCAAAGGTTACTTGAATCTATGTATCCTATGTTCAAACAACTCCAGTGATAGGGAACTCCAAGACTAATCTGGAAGTGTTTTTTCCTTCTTTCAATGAATGCATGCAAGACCACATGTGTGATGAATGGAATAATCCATTACCCTGTCCTATGTAGGCTGGGATGACTGATCAGTTGTCCATTCCAGGTTCATAGGCAGGTATGCTTCTTTGTAAATTTTTTAAAAATTTTTTTATTTATTTGAGAAGGAAAGAGTGAGCGAGCAAGAGATCTTCCATCCACTGGGTCTCTCCCCAGATGTCTACCACAGCCCCAGGCCAGACCAAAGCTTGGAGCTGAGAACTCAATGCAGGTTCTCACTTGGGTTGCAGGGACTCAAGTACTTGAGCTAAAACCTGCTGGGCATTAGCAGGAAGCTGGAATCAGGAACAGAACCAGGACTTAGACTCAGGTACTCTGACTTAGGATGCAGGGAACCAAAGTAGCATTTTAACTGCTATGCCAAATGCCTGTCCCTGCAGGTACTCTTCATTACACAGAAATGTCTACACTTCTATACAGCACTATTAAAATATGCACCAAACGGTTTTAAAAGATGACTGAAAAATGAAACATATACTTTTGAGGTGATATTACCTTACTAATGTTATCTAGATTCTTTGCCCTCATTCTAATTACACAATTAAATCTTGATGTCTTCATACTATCATAGGCAAATATCTCAAGATGTAATATTCTCTTGTAACCTAATTTATTGTTCATGATGGTAGAAGTAAATTTCTATTTCAAATAGTCTTCTTGATAATTGCAACTGTATTTGGCAAGCTTCTAGGCAGATTTGATTTTTATCTCCTAAGATTGCTGGCAAGGAGCTCATTCTCAGAGTTGGAAAAGTGCCAGCACTGTCATTTCTTGGTGTTCTCTTGTGCTTACATGTGTTTGCAATAATCATTTTAAGCCCCTTATCCATTTTGTTGAGGCTAATTTAATTAAGTCAAGATAATGAAGGTACTTCAAAAAGTTTGTGGAAAATCCAATTACTGATAAGTTAATTTGGTGCAAAAAATTTTTTTGGAAATACATGCTTTCCAAAAGTTTATCGAAAATGTGTCCTATGAAAAAATATGTATATATTTCAAAAATGTTTTGCATAAAAATTAAAGTGTAGCTTTTAACTTCATTTTTCCATGAACTTTTGGAAGTATCTTTGTGCTCTCGCTGGCTACACTTAACCTATTACACTTCCCTCTGTGACTTCAAAGCCTACCAAGCAGTGAGGCTGACTTCTTAGCCCTTCCTTGCTTTGGAGCCCCTGCTGTTTCTCGTGGTGTCAGGAACTCAAGACCCATCTGTTTCCTGTGGCCCAGTGGATCACCATGTGTACCCTTACTCATTTTGAGATCCCTGTTCACTGTGTGGCCTGTTCAGTTTTCTGAAAGATTGAAGAGTGAAGAACTTCTTCCTCCTGTTGAGTTACAACGCAGTTGTGTCATAGACAGCCAGCCTGCTAGCTCTTTCAGGCCCTGCGCTCTTTCTGCCCTGACTTCTCCAAATTGTTCCTTGTGGGTCTGGTGTCAGCTAAATGCCTACAGCCCTCTCTGCTCCTTAGCATCTTTTTATGCTAAATACACATTTTCTCCCAGGAGCTCCAGCCTTAACCCCTACCACTCAGTTCTATGTCACTGGTATTCCAGCCTGCCAAAGGTAAAACATCTAGATAGACAGGTGGATAAGCAGACAGATATTAGATGGTAACACATTCTTATTTCCTGCAGAAAATCTGAAACATCGAAAATAAAAATTAAACATTGGTATCACCCCTGATTTCACATCTCAGGGGTAAAGATCGAAACGTCTTGATGAAAACCCTTCCAAGTTCATTAATTTGTTCTTTCTTAAAGATTTATTTATTTATTTGGAAGTCGGAGTTACAGAGAGAGAGAGAGAGAGTTCACTCCCTAGATGGCCACAACAGCTAGCACTGGGCCAGGTCAAGCCAGGACCCAGGACCCAGGAGCTTCATCCGGGTCTCCCATGTGGATTGTGGGGGCCTAAGCACTTGGGCCATCTGCTGCTTTCCCAGGTGCATTAGCGGAGCTGGATCAGAAGGGGAGCAGCCAAGACTTGAACCAGCACCCATATGAGATGCCAGCACAATAGCAGCCACCCTTCCAGGTTCTTTCTATGCACGTACATATAGATTTCATTCTAGTCTTTTTTTTTTTTTTTCCATCATTAGCTTTTCCAATGTAGAAACACACCTATATGACATTGGCTAAACTAGAAACTAGAAGTAGCCTGGCTAGCACCAACAAAGCTGAAATTTCAAAGTGATACAGATTTTGCCTAACCTAGATATTTCTCCCTTCTGCAGAGCAGTTTTGTAAGTCTGAGTTTGTGTGCATTTGCTAAGGCTTACTGGAGACAAAAGCTTTGTTTTGAAAGGAAGGTTGCAGATTATGTCATCCAAACTCCACTCATTGCTAGAATTCCTGCCCTACCATCTCCTGAGGGCCCCCAGGCTTCACATGGGCACTTTCAGAGTGGGAAGCTCAAAGCCCATTCCATTGTGCCCCACCCTCAGATTCCTTGGTTAGGAAGTCTGTTGAAAATAAGAGGCTGATGCTCAGGAGGCACAGTGAAGACAGGATCAGGGAAAGCTTAAAGGAGAAAATAGAATTAGGAATGGGCTGTGAAGGGGAGTAAAAGATTTTTTACAAAGTGATTGAAAAATCTTGAGAATCTAGCTACTGTGGTAAGTAGAGGAATGAAGAATTAGGAAGGGCCTGTTCTACTGGCTAGGAAGCAAATTGCAAAACAATAAATGGCAGAGGGTGGTCTGCCAGGTTTTAATATTATTTATGTCTTTGCATTTTTGAGTATTCGCTGCATGCTTTCCTAATCACATCAGGCGTGGCCCAGAAACTCTCCTTTCTATGTCATGACAGCTTCAGTAGCTGGATGCTGAATTATTTTTAAATGCAGCTCATTCAAGATGAAAAAAAAAATACACTTGAGTTTCAATGATTCAAAGAATATAGCTGGAAGCAGAGCCTTGGGTAATGATATTACGTATCCAGTAGAAATCCAGACTCCTATTCCTGTCTCATCTGCGACTTGGCTGGAAGAAAAGGCTTTGAATCTGAGAACTCCAAAGGAACATGGAGGCGCTATCATTTAATGCTCCCAGTTTGCTTCTGTGACCAGTATTGACTCAGCACATTTCCAACAAGAATGTGGACCAGTCACGGGCCCTGACAGAGGGCTTCCCAGAACACAGTGGTTGGAGCCCATGGGTTGGGCACTTATGCTGTCAGTTATAGGAGAGCAGAAAAACCCTACCCAGAGATTAGCTTATCTCAGGCAAGAAGAAACTAAGTAGGAAAGGTTGACCTGTTTTCTTAATTCAACAAGAACATTTCTATAGAGGAATAAAAAAAACAATAAAAATAGAAATTTTAGAAGATAAAACAGTGTTTGTAAAATATATTCGGGCTACATACAGACCACTCCCAGGTTGCACACGGGTCTGAATTTCATGAAAAGCCCAACGCAGAGTCCTAACTATCGAAACACATAGCATATTGGCAAAAGGTTCAAATATGTGCTGAGAAATGGCAAACCACTTTCTTCTAAAATCTCTGTGTACCCCGACAACATAACTTGATTTGATGGTCTTTAGATAAGTTAAAATTATATAAAAATAAAAATATATAACACATGTGAATGCATTTGGGGAGTATACTTTTCAATTTAGTTTAAAATGTTTTATAAATGAAATTGGATCATAGTCTCCCAGAACCTGCAGTATTCACAGGCAGAGCCGATACTGTGATTCTGGGAGAGGAGCAGACTTGCAGGTGCCTTTGAGCAAAGAATGAGCCACCTGCTCACGCGAGGCAGGTGTAGCTCCCACACCTGGGCATGGCCCAGTGATCCATGAGTGGCCAGGATTTCAGATCTCAATACCTCCCCACCACCACGTCTGGGATGCATTTGTGCAGAACATAAACCACACAGCCCATCCAGGTCACACCAGCTGAAGACCACTGGTATCTGTAACAAGATTCAGTGTTTCTCCATTGTAGCAGCAAATGTGCTGCAAGTATCAGAATCCTGGCAGAAAGGAGATGTTGCAAAGTGGGTCAGCTTTTACTGTGTGGTGGCTTTTTAAGGCCAGCCATTCTTTTGTGATCTGTAGGGCCTGAGAGTATTCGAGTAGATTCCCCGGAACTATCTGTTCCGCTAATCTTTCCTGGGCCTGTTCTCTACCTCCTTTTATTTTGGTCTCATCCCTGTTCAACTCCTGGTGCTTGGTGCCAGGATCCCCTTCACTGGTCTCTGCTGCTGGCCCCTTTAAGTGTGATGGATACTTCTTGATATGGACACAGTACTTGGGCATGGGTTTGACACATTTCACTGGGGCGGGAATTTTCCAGCCCAACCTCATCTCCCACAATCCAAACCCAGCTCCGGGTCACTCAGCCAGAGACTGTCCAGCCCACCCTCAGTTGTCCCTCCCACCCCGCTTCTCTCCTCTCCCATTCAGGGTGAATACTGGCTGTGGATCATGTATTCTGAGATGGAGTGATGTGGTGTGGACTCCCAGGAGCTTTGCCTCATGGCCTGGCCTGCTGGAGATGGGCCTGCTCGGTGAAGGCTGTCCAGAGATTCAAACAAGATAAGAAAAGCTCTTCTGTTTTTCAAGTTCTCCCTTGCACAGCAGTGATCTTGTTTTATGTTATCTTTTATATCACATGATTTGACATCTGCTTGCTGACCCAAAATCTTGTACCAGTAATATATATTTTGAAAACTGAAAGGCCTTTCACGTATTTTTTCATCTAATCCTCATGAAATCTCTGGAGGGAGGTATTATTCTTCGTAATTTACAGATGAGAAACTGATACTGGGGGAGGGACTTTATAACTCCCACCTAACCTGAGGCTGCGGGTTGAGTGACTCAGTTGTATGCTGCCTCATTACTTTGGACTAAATGCTGGTCTAATATTGCTGCTAACAACAACAGAAAAACAGAAAATGAAAAAGCACATATATTCCTGGTCGTACAGCTCCAGGCATTTCATTTTAATGGAAACTGTGTATTAAGTTTTATCTTGAGACAAAACTGGCCTTTTTAGATTAGCTCTTTCAGGTTAATCAAGAAGTCGTATCCAAAGCCAATTTCAATTGCTGCTTCTTAATTATAACTATTTGTCATCACATTGATCCTGGAGGACCAAATATAGAGCACATGTTTTCACAGCAAACGTTTGTTTTCGGTAAACAGCTACACAAACGTCCTGGGTATCCTACACTGTGCAGGAGCTCATATCTGTCTGAATAAACGAAGTGAAGGCAACACGAACAGTAAGTTAAGCAGAGAAATATATTTACTCCTTCATCCTTATTGAGTTCCTACTAATTGTCTGCCTCAAATCCGTTTTCCCTCTTCTTCCCTAGTCATGGAAGACTTACTGTTCCGGTACTTAATATTCTGGCCACTCTAGAATAAAGACTACATTTTCCAGCTGCCCTTTGCAGCCTGGGGGGGAGGGGGGGAGGATCATGTGACCAAGTCTGACCAGTGAAATACAAATGAAGGTGGGAGGGACAACTTCCAAAGAGGGTCAGGGTTAAGGTGAACGTGTATGTCCTGCTTTGCCTCTTCCTCCTTAAAGCTGGCTGGAACATAGAAGTGATGGCCATGGTGGGTGACACAAAAGGAACACAAAAGGACCCTGCATCCTTGATAATCATGGCTTGGTCGTATTCGCCTTGACACTTATGTGAACTCTTCAACATACATAAAAAATTATACTTCTGTCTTTCTGAAATTGGTTATTTGTAGATTTTTTTTTAATTTTTATGTATTTATGTGAAAGGCAGAGAGACAGACTGAGTAAGCTCCCATTGTCTAGTTCACTCCCCAAATGCCCAGGACAGTAGGGGTGAGGTAGTGGAAGCCAGGAGCTGGGAACTTCATCCAGGTTTCCCATATGGGTGGCAGGAACCTAAGTACTTGAGCAATTACCTCCTGTCTCCCAGGGTGTGCATTATCAAGAAAGTGGAATCAATTGGAAGCAGAGTAGCTGGGACTTAAGCAAGGTGTTCCCATAAGAGATTCTAGCATCCCAAGTGGTATCTTAACTGCTAGGCCAAATACTTGCCCCATTTTGTTTGTTTTGTACATCCACCTCTATTCCCAGTGCATGATATATCTTAAAAAATACATATAAATTGTATTATTGTTGTGGAATGGGATTCTTTATGTATTATGTCCCCTTAAAAATGTTTATTTTTAACAATCAGTGATGGTTGTCTTACTTAGAAACATCCATCATTCATGACTTATAGTGATCAGATTGAAGTGGATTATACCAATAAAATTTGAGAAATATATTTACTCCTTCGCCCTTATTGAGTTCCTACTCTGAGAGGATCTCTGTACGCGATGCAAGGAAGAAGATAAAGAAGAGACGGGCCCTGCTTTAGAGGTACATATAATCTACTTCTGGAAGCAGAGGTGTAACAATTAAACCGTATGTATAAATAGTGAATGTAATGGAGATGTAGAAAATATGTCAGGACATTAAGAGAATAATTAATTCTGCATGGAAGAATCCAAAATGTTCATGGATGTAGTGCCATTTCTCCTGATTCTGGAAGGCTAAGTATGCTTTTCAGAGGGGAATGAGCAAAGGCATAAAACAAAGAGAGTATATAAATTAAATTAAATAGCCCTAGGTGAGTGGAACACAAGGTACGTGCAAAGGAATGTCAGGAGATAAATTGGGAAAGGGATGGATGTTGTCATCACTGATGCCTTCCGAAGGACATGCAAGTCCTAGAAATCTTTAATCACTGAGGTCACATGTTCAAAGGTGTATTTTAAGACCATAATACTGGCCGGCGCCATGGCTCAAGAGGCTAATCCTCCGCCTGCAGCGCCGGCACACCGGGTTCTAGTCCCGGTCAGGGTGCCGGATTCTGTCCCGGTTGCTCCTCTTCCAGGCCAGCTCTCTGCTGTGGCCCGGGAGTGCAGTGGAGGATGGCCCAAGTACTTGGGCCCTGCACCCGCATAGGAGACCAGGAGAAGCACCTGGCTCCTGGCTTTGGATCAGTGCGGTGCGCTGGCCGCAGCACACCAGCCACAGCGGCCATTGGAGGGTGAAACAACGGTAAAGGAAGACCTTTCTCTCTGTCTCTCTCTCACTGTCCACTCTGCCTGTCCAAAAAAATAAAAAACCACCATAATACTAAATTGAAAGTATGTCATTGTGAAAATTCGAAGAAAAATAAGAAAGGAAGGAGGTGGAATGGAAGAAGTAAGGGAAGGAAGGTAGGGGTGAGTTATGCTTATGTTCTTAAAACTGGATATATGGGGGCCTGTGCTGTGGCGCAGCAGGATAAAGCCCTAGCCTGAAGCGCTGGCATCCCATATGTGCGCCAGTTCTATTCCCAGCTGCTGCTCTTCCGATCCAGCTCTCTGCTATGGCCTGGGAAAGCAGTAGAAGATGGCTGGGCCCCTGCACCCACGCGGGAGACCCGGAAGAAACTCCTGGCTCCTGGCTTCGGATTGGCGCAGTTCCGGCCCTTGCGGCCATCTGGGGGAGTGAACCATTGGATGCAAGATCTCTCTCTCTGTCTCTACCTCTACCTCTCTGTAAATCTTTCAAATAAATAAAAATAAATATTTTTAAAAAAGAAAATAAAACTGGATGTATGAAGTACATGATATTTGCTCCCTTTATATAAATAAAAGAAACAAAAAATAATAAAATAGAACCGTAATACAGTTTTGACACAGTTTGACACAGTCCTTGAATCAGGGTAGAGAGTGAATGTCTGATTCACTTTTGTGCTCCTCCAAGCATCTGCAGCGTCACTGGATCTTTATTCACCCATGGTGGATGCTCCTTAGATGTTTATGAAAATGAATGAATGAATGTAAGCATGAAGGTAACAGTATTGGACTTTTAAGCATCTGGTGTTCTATCTTAGTTCACCAGAGCGGCCATAATGGGATATCACAGACGGGGTGACTTAAACAACAGATGTTTGTTGCTCACAGTTCTGGAGGCGAGAAGTCCAGCGTCAAGATGCTGTCAGGTAAGTTTCATTCTGTCTTCTTCTCTCAGTTTGTAGACACCCACCATCTGCATGCTCACTTGGCCTCTTTGTGCATGGAGAAAGGAGAGAGGTTTTGGGTGTCCCTTCCTCTTGTAAAGACAACAGTCCAGTGAGATTAAGGCTCAACACCTCCAACTTCATTTAACCTTAATTAGTTTCTTAAAGCTCCTTTCTCCAAATACAGTCACCCCGTTAGTGTTAGTTAGTTAACTAGTTAGAGCTTTCACACATGAATTGAGGGGTTAGGGCGAATCCCAATTCAGTCCATATAGATGTGCTATGTTATATAATCTACAGATAATTCATATTAGCTTTCTCAAACAAGCTTTCTTAGAGCCTACATTTTTAAATTGAGGACACATAAACAACAAATACATGAATATAAAATGAGCAAACAATTTTGGACTGGTGAGAGCATCATAGACGATAGGAGTTGGTTCTTCCAGTGCCGCTCCATGTAACCTCCCCCGCAGAGCCAGGACTAGAGGGAGCTGAGTGGGTTGCTAGAGGGAGCTGAGTGGGTTGCCTGGGCTTCATATATAAAGAGGAAAACACCCATTCTCAGGGCCATGAAAATTCTGGCATGAGACTTGTGTGACCCTGAGGTCAAATCCTTCCTTTAAGAGTGTGCTGTGGCTGCCTTACTCATTTCTTCCTTGTCCTGACCTTGCCCCCAGTCTCGACCACTGGAGGGGAGCGGCAAAGTCAGAGAGAAGGGAAGGTAACCGCCAATGCATGGATGCATGGGTTATTAAACCAGCTACCACAGTAGAGACCCTAGCCCAAGTGGAGTCCATGAGGAGTAAAGCCCACTCTTCAGAACCATACCGCTGAAGGGTGAGGGAGCTGGGGTACTTACACACCACCTAATCTTTACTGAGCTACTCTAGGGGCAGTAGCCCTTCTGAGCAAAGCAGAGAGGCAAAGCCATTAGGTGCAGAGATGCAGATCCTGAAATCAGAGCTCAAGGGACTTGGAGGGGGGATGTGAAGGCATTGCTACTGGCTGCTATAGAAAGAGAACTTAGATGTGGAAACCTCTCCACCTCCCCCGAAGCCTGGGCTCTTGGCCCAACCTAGCTGTGACCCTTGGAGCAAGACTTCAGTTGCTTCAGTTGGCTTGTCCAGTGCTGAGGGGCTGATTTGAAGATACTGCTTGAAGACAAGCTAAATGAAAGCCAGAGAGTGAGAAGAATCCGGATCACCAGAGTTGAGGCATGGAAGTCCTGGACAAGAGAGGGTTTGGAGCAGGTGGAGGGTGAGAAATGAAGCCCGAGGCAAGTCCTGTTCTGAAAGAGGAACAGCACGGCCACAGTGGCTTTGTATGAATCCCTTGTGTCCCTACGCATGGGCAGGGAGGGAGTGTAATGAGGACAAGGAGCAAATGAGTGGCTGTGGGGGCAGAAGGGAACACAGAGATCTTAGAGTTTGCAAGATCAGGGCCCAGAGGATCTGAAAAGCCATATGCTCAAATCTCATAAGAAAACAAAGCCCCAACTTCTCCTGCTTGTTCTCACAAATAAGTAAGCTCCCAGGCTCTTCCCTAGCCCTCCTCACGTCTTTGCTTCTGTGCCCAGTGGAGAGACTGTAGAAGGCCTTTTAGAGAGAGCAGTAGTGCTGAGCCAGCCAGCCTGCCTCTCCAAGGCCTTCTGCATGCCCGTGAATTTACCTGCCCCAGGACAGTGGTTCTTGTTGTGCCTTGAACTTGCACTTGGGGAAACCCTAGTCCTTGTCCAGGCTCTGAGCCTGCCTTGTAGATGCAGACCATGGATCTTATCAAAACTCACACCCTCAGCAGTTCCTTCTGGGGAAGGAACATTCAGATGTTTCTATTTCAAGTTGTACACACTAAATCTGTGACGGCTAAACTCATTTTTTAAAGGGAGCAAAGATCCTTTCCTGTATGTTTGAATGGAGTAGGATGGAACTAGCCTAGGTGATTGTTGGCTTGAGACAGATGAACACAATGCGCACCAACATACATCTTTATTAGGGCAATTCAGCAGGGAGTCACATGGTGACAGCACCTGTTGTGGCTCAGACACTGTGCGAGGTGCCTGATACACTGCCTTTTAATTATGACAAATGCTTTTCAAGGTGATTTCCAAAGTTGAACGTGTCCCTCAGTTCTTCCTGGCTCCATATTAGTGTATAGCTCATCTTGCCAGACAACAAAAGTGAAGTTCATGAACCCTGGCCCAGGACCCTGGAGACTCAGGGCCCAGATGTGACTCAGCTGCCACTCAGGAGCTGTTTGGTCCTAGGGTCACTTACCTGTCCTTTCTGGACTTCAGGTTCCTCATGAGGGTTGTATTTACTTTAAAAGATTTTTTGTTTATTTATTTATAAGACAAAGTGGCAGGGAGAGTGTCGCTCCCCCTCTTCACGGAGGAACGACACTAGACCCTGCGTTGTTCTTTTGTCTGCTCGGCCCTTCCTGGGTTTGCTGCTGGTCCTTCCCAGGTTGGCTGCTGATCCCTCCACCTCCATGGAGGGGAGGCTCCCCCTGCCACTTTCCCCACTTCCGCGGGGGAGCGGCACACCGCCGGCCGGCTCTCTCGGGGGCTGCTCAGATGTTATCCGGATGTTCCCTGGTGCATGTTGTCTCTCTCCTCCTTTATAGTCCTCTTCCACCAGTCCCAACTCTGCTACCCACACGCCAAGCATGCTGCTCTCCTCCAATCAGGAGCAGGATCAGCTCCTGCAGGTTACTGGTCGAACTGGAGGCAGCTGCGTAGAAGCTGTTCACTCCTCTCCCAGCGCCATATTGTGGGAGAGCAGATGCATAGAATAGGTCTTAATTTCAGTAACTTAGTCTAGTCCGAGTTGCTCCCCACAGAGAGGGAGAAGAAGGAGAGAGAGAGAGAGAAAGAGAGAGATCTGGGGCCAGCACTATGATGCATCAGGTTAAAGCCCCAGCTTGCAGCACGCTGGTTCTAGTCCCGGCTGCTCCTTTTCTGATCCAGCTCTCTGCTCTGGCCTGGGAAAGCAGTAGAAGATGGCCCAAGTCCTTGGACCCCTGCACACATGTGGGAGACCCAGAAGAAGCTCCTGGCTCCTAGCTTCAGATCAACTCAGCTCTGGCCATTGCCGTCATTTGGGGAGTGAACCAGTGGATGGAAGACCTCTCTCTCTCTGGCTCTACCTTTCTATAACTCAGTCTTTCAAATAAATAAATCTTTAAAAAGAGAGAGAGAGAAAGATCTTCCATCCTGGTTCACTCCTCAAAAAGCCTCAACAACCAAGGCTGACAGGTCAAAGCCAGAAGCCAGGAACTTCATCCAGGACTCCCACATGGGTGGCAGGGACTCAAGTACTTGTATATCATTTGCTGGTTCATGGGCACGTTAGCAGAGAGTTGTATCAGAAATGGAGTAGCTGGGATTTGAACCAGCACTCTGCTATCTGCTGTGAGTATCCCAAGTGGTGATTCAACCCACTGTATCCCAACACCTACCCCACTGTGTGGGGCTTTAAATGAACTCTTCTCTAGCACCCCTTGGTTTTCTCATGTTCCATGCAGCCTGTCTGATCACATTACTTAGCACATTCCAGACTTGACCTTTGAAGCAGCTTCTACGTGAGAAAAATGGGCTGATTAGACTAGGGCGATTTTACTTCATTCATTTATGCAGTCATCAATATGTATTTATGAACTAGTTTCCAAATGGGAAGTTCCAGGGCATACATCCCTTGGGAACTACTGTAAGGTGAAAATCTGAGCTTAAGAATGTGCATATAATCCTCAATGCTGACTCCTGTTACTCAGGGTCCTTGCTTGACCGTGTCTCCTTATGTGAGCTCTGGACACCTGCCCCCGATCTGCACATACACACACGCACGCACGCACGCACGCACGCATATACATACACCAATCTTCCCTCAAATTTGACTATTTTTCTAGCCTTCACCCTGTTGGGTATTTTTCTCTCTTCCTCCTCACTTAGCCAAAGGAAGACTCTGCCATCACTCAGCCCATTTTCTCACCTGCCTTTCACTCCCTGGCTCTGCCACTCATTCATTCATTTCCATCCATCCAACAGACTATTTTTCCAAGAATTGTGTTCAGAGAAGAAGCATTCCCATCCTTATAACTGACATGTTTGGGAGAAAGAAACTCAAGCTGAATCCTGGCCTAGGACTTACTAGTTGTGACCTTGGGCAAGTTACTTTTCCTCTCTGAGCTGTAAGTTTCTCATGAACATAATGAGATTCCATGGAATCCAAAGATTGTTAGATGGATTGTAGGAGGTAACACAAAGTATTTGGCACAGAGCCTGGAAGATAGTGAATATTACATGATATGAAGCAGCTTTTATTGCTACTTCAATAGAGAGACAAAAGCCAAACATGGAGGTGCCAAAGAATGCACAGGTTTTTTTTAAATTTTTATTAATATAAAGTGAACAGATGTTATACATTCCATAGGTACAGTTCCAAAAAGACAACTACCTTTCCCTCACTGCCTTCTTCCTCCCCAATACCCCTCCTCCTCTCCCCCTCTCTTTTTGCAAAGACATAATTTTAATCCACTTTATATTCACAGGCTTAATTTGCCACTAATCATGATATTCAGCAAGTAAAAAGGAGGAAGGCCACAGTTCGAAAGGAAAATAAACAGGGGCTAAAAATGACAATCATATTCCAAAGTGACCATTTCATTCCTATACATTTTTTTGTGTTTTGTATTAGCTGCCACACATCAGAGAAAACATATGATATTTGTCTGCTTGAGTCTGGCTTATTTCACTAAGCATAATGATTTCCTAGTTGGAATGCACAGTTCTTAACCTAGGCCAAGAGATAGGTGATGTCAGGGAAGGTTTCCAAAAACAGAAGAATGGCCCAGAATGAGTCTTGAAGATGAATTGGGACTTGTGTAGGGCGCAGGGAAGAGAGAGGAAGGCAAGGCTAACAGTGTTTCAGGTAAGGGCTCTGCCAAGGGAAAGAAAGGAAAGAACTCACAGCTCCTTCCAGAGTCATCAGGGCAGTGCAGCCAGGATGCAGGGGGCGGGGAAATGCACCTGCAGACACTGCGCACCAGTGGGGTGTGAGCCTGACAAACCACTCACTCTCCTTACGTCTTGAAGGCAGCAGGAGCCTCTGAAGCACTTTGTGCAGTAGCATATGCAGACTGTTTTTTGGGAGCATCTTCTGGAAGCTGACAGATGTAGAGGGGCCAGGAAACCAGTGAGTGGAGGTGTTCATATCTGGGAGTGGTGGTTAATTTTCTATGTCAATTTGGGGCCGGGGAGTGCTCAGAGAGTTGGTTAAGCATTGTTCTGGGTGTGTCTGGGTAGGCGTTTCTGGATGAGGTTAACATTTGAATCAGCAGACTGAGCAAAGCCAGCTGCCTTTCTCAGTGTGTGTGTTTGGGGCGGGGGAGGGGGGTGGCTCATGCCATCAGTGACTAGAATGGAAAGGTAGAGTACGTACGGATTCTTTCTCTTGGTCTATTTTCAAGCTAGGACATTGGTCTTCCCCTTGTTAGACTTGGACTTGAACTTACACTATTGCCTCTTCCGGATGAGGATCTGGACTTTTCAGCCTTCATAATCACGTGAGCCAATTCTGTTTTCTCTCTCTCTCTCTCTCTCTCACTCTCCCTGTCTCCCTCCCCTCCACCTCCCACCCCCCCCCACATTGATCTGTTTCTCTGGAGAACTCCAAAACACTGACATAGCCCTGTAATGCTATAACCTGGAATCTCCACTGGTCTCTCCTTCCAGGCTTCCCTCCTTCCACTTGTCCTTAATGTTTCTAGCCAGGTTATCTTACCCTTGAGTCCCCGCTCCAATTCTCAGTTACCTGTAATTCCCTATTCCTATCCTAGAGTGAAATCTGGCCACAGACGACAGCCTGCCTTTCTCTTTTTCCTTTGCCCCGATATCACTCATCCTGACTTTGATGTGTTTGTGCTTCTTGTGCCCACTGTGCACCTTTTCTGGAGTGCCTCTTCCCCTCTCTCTCCTGGATGACCACTAGACAGCATGCATCACTTTAAGTGTCACCTCTCCAGCGAATCCATCCCTGAGGCCAAAACGTTAGACAGCCTGAGCCCCACTCCATTCTGTACATGGTGGCAAGTATTACATTTTATTGCAGTGATTCATGTACTGTATTTTTTTCCATGAAAAGACAGAGAGCTTGTCATGGGCATAGACCTTTGCAGTTTCAGTTTTGGATTCCAAGGGCCTACCATGTAATAGACCCTCAAGTCCTAAGAGCTGAAATGCTGGGTGTGGACATGAATGGAAGGATGGATTAGACAAGGAAAGGAGGAGTGGTGGTGTGGACCCCACTAATTGCAGCTTGCTTCCCTCTTTAAATGTCCTCCTTCCCAGTAACCTTATACATATCGTTCCAGCAACAGCCAATCAGCAACTGTGGAATTGTTTCATACATTTTTTTCCCCTTATATTTTTGTCAGTTTCATCCAGAGTCTATCTGGGCTTGAAAAGCCTTGGTTGATTTCAGAGACTGCTGTCCTCTCTCCTTTATTCTGTCCTGGAGAAATTTTAGGAACTTATTCTGGTACTTTGGGGACATTTGTTCATAGCAGTGTTTAAGGTAAAGTTAATATTTTCAGGATGATCAAATTTCTGGAAAATGTTCTTTGATCTTTTGAATTGTAATTAAATACATGTTCAGCATTTTGAAATTCAAGCTCTGTAACTTGTTCCAGACTATGGAAAGACTTTTCAGAGGAGTTACGCTTTTTAATGAAAGTTGGCAAAATGTGATGTTGAGATTAAAGAACAGGCAAATTCATGGTGACGGCTGACGATCTTAGGCCTGTGAGTTTCTCGTCCTAACTCTGATTAAGAAAGAGGAGAAAAGGGCTGGTGCTGTGGTGTAGTAGGCTATGTCTCTGCCTGTGGTGCCGGCATCCCATATGGGCACTAGATCAAGTGCTGGCTGCTCTTCTTCTGATCCGGCTCTCTGCTATGGCCTGGGAAAGCAGTAGAAGAAGGCCCAAGCCCTTGGGCCCCTGAACCCATGTGAGAGATCCAGAAGAAGCTCCTGGCTCCTGGCTTCAGATTGGCCCATCTGCAGCTGTTGCAACCTTTTGGGGACTGAACCAGCAGATGGAAGACCTTTCTCTGTCTCTCCCTCTCTCTGTCTGTAACTCTATCAAATAAGTAAATAAATAATTTTTTTAAAAAAGAAAGAGGCCGGCGCTGTGGCTCACTAGGCTAATCCTCTGTCCAGTTGCCCCTCTTCCAGGCCAGCTCTCTGCTGTGGCCCGGAAGTGCAGTGGAGGATGGCCCAAGTGCTTGGGCCCTGCACCCCATGGGAGACCAGGAGAAGTACCTGGCTCCTGCCATCGGATCAGCACGATGCGCCCGTCACAGCACGCTGGCCGTGGTGGCCGTTGGAGGGTGAACCAATGGCAAAAAGGAAGACCTTTCTCTCTGTCTCTCTCTCTCACTGTGCACTCTGCCTGTCAAAAAAAAAAAAAAAAAAAAAAAAAAAAAAAGAAGGAAGGAAGGAAGGAAGGAAGGAAGAGCCAGAATACAAGCTCTTTGGAATGAAACCATAGCAGGGCTAGCAGAGATTGATTTAATTATGTTGAGCGCAACACTAAGACCAACAATTGCTTTTAATATTCCTAGCAGATCAGAGTCCTTGTTCTCAACATTTTGCTGCTGAGCAGTTGGGGAAATGAGCGTATCTATTGTGGCCAAAAGCCTGCAGATTTCTGTTATGACTCATCTCACATCTGAATTCTAAACGCTTGGCATGCGGAAGGGCGTGGAAGCCTCACATCCTCCTTTCCAGTTAACCCCTGTGGACCTGCAGTCAGGCTGCACTTGAGGGTGACTTGGGTGACAGTTCAACTCCGAGTGTATTTTCTAGGACCTTTGAAAGTTTCTAGGGGTAATGAGTGATTTTTCATTTCTAAATTAAAAAAAAAAAAGAGCAGATGCAATGTTGTATGTAAACACCAGCAGCAACCACAACACGTGCACGCCTTCTTACTCGCTCTGCTGTAGACTGATAGAAACATCAGCACCTTGAACTTGGGATGCAGTTAATACTCCTGAGCTCCATTTTCCTCATCTGTAAAATAAGAATATTTGTCTGGCTGATTTGTTGCGAGAGTTCAGTGAGTGAATACATGTAAAGAGCTTAGCACAATGTCTGATACAGACTCGTTGTTGACCCAGCAGTAGCTGGCTGTTTGGCCTAGCAGTTAAGACACCTGTGTCCCATATAGGAGGGCCTGAGTTCAATACCTGAGTCTACTCCTGACTCCAGCTTCTTGCTCATGCAATCCCTGGGAGGCAGTGGTAATGGCCCAAGTGATTAGGTTCTTGCCACCCATGTGGAAGACCTCTGTTGAGTTTCAGCTCCTGGCTTCATCCCAGCCCATTCTTGGCCATTTTGAGCATTTGAGGGCTGAACTGGTAGATGGGAGCTGCCTCTGTCTTTTTCTCTGCTTCTCTTTCTCTCATATAAAAATAAAATAAACAAGCTGTTGTTGGGGATGTTGCTATTGTTAGTATT